GGCCACTGAGCAGGGGGCCTGCACACCTCTTCCTCTACAGTTTTCAACCTATCGGCCAGTGTCTTAATAGACCCGGTGATGGTCTACAATGGTACATTGTCCGCTGCGTCGCATTGGTGATGGGTGTCTGAAATGCATGTTGGAATGACATTTTGGTGCTCGCGAACAAAAGAGCTCACCAGGGAAGACTGTGCTACAGTGTCTGATACGTTGGGTTCCCCGAGACACCTCGCTCACCACGGCTGCAGGACGGTGGGTGGGAAGTAACTATTCGAAGGCGTCAAATGGGTTTGGGCCATCAAATCAGCGTGTTAATACGCTGTAAAGTTTGCAAAAATTCTGCAGACTCGGTAGGTCTGACGAATATCGGTTTTTTTCTAGCACGTCGGCACGAAGTCCGCGCCAAAGATGACGTACACAGTCTTCTTACTTCATGCTTGCATTCACACGGGCGCAAAGCTGTAGCACATCAAAATAATACTCTTCCGGGTTCTCAGACGGCAGACACACTCGATTGTCTAGTCTTGGACGTGCTATCTCAGTTGCGTGGCGGTCAGTGAAGCAAGATTTAAGTAATGCGGCCCATTCTTCCCATTTTTTTTAGGAGCACCAGTCAAGATTTTCGTGGTATACCACTCTTTTGCGTTGCCTTCCAAAGTTAAATAAGGGAACTTCACCTCGGGTATCCTCGTCCCAGGCGTTGAGAGAAGATACGTGCTCGTAGCCGGTCACCCACTCTGATGCGGATTCCTCCGGCGTCCCTTTGAAGATCGGGGGTCCCGTGAAGGGCGTCGAGGTTGGAGCGGTTGAAAAGTGAGCCATTCTCCCCAGGTTGTTCACGTCGTTCTGGCTCCTCAGGGTGGGCATCAGCGTACGGGGGCTTTCGCTAGCGCGCAGCCTCCGCCAACTTGTAGCGTAGTGTTCTCCTGGCTACTTGGTAACCGCCGCAGAGAGGATCGACACGTACACACAACAGCTTTCTTCTGAACTGATTTATTTGGTTAAAACACTACCGATTGACGTTGTACGCACTTGTACTCTACATGACTGGGATAACTCTGCACAGCACACGCTGCCACCTGCGGCGTCCACTGTGCAACGCTCTTTTCGGCTCTTCTAGCAAGATCCCAAGAGCCTGCCTGGAGACCAAACCGAAAGAACCACACAAACGTGTCCGCTGACGATTCAAAATAGGTGGAACAAATTTCAACAGGTACATCCAAGCTCGGGGGCCTCCACCAACCTAGAGGACTGCTATCAACCTAAAGAATAATGACCTAAAGTAAACTGTCGCGACATGCGTTTAGGCTTTCACAGTGCAACTCCCCCGCTGACTATACGGCGCCGCGAACAGCCGTTGGCGACCCTTTACCTGAGAAACAACCCCATACGAGGAAGCTTCCTCGTAGGGGGTTGTTTCTCAGGTAAAGGGTCGCCAACGGCTTTTCGAGGCGCCGGATAGTCAGCGGGGGAGTTTCACTGTCGAAGCCTAAACGCATGTCGCGACAGTTTACTTTAGGTCATTATTCTTAGGTCATTATTCTTCTACGAGGAAGCTTCCTCGTAGGAAGCTTCCTACACGCGGGACTCGCTCGCTGGATTCCGTGCCGACTGGTTGTTCCCTCGCGACGACAGCGCAGCTCTGACCGACTGGGCTGGTCCTACGCCACCTCCTGCAGCCAGTCCCCTACGATGACATCAGCGCAGCTCTGGTTGACTGTCGCCGACAAGAGCTCTCGCAAGTGGTGCCCCGTCCTCGGACTCCTGTGACCGTGTTTCCATCCTTCCCATCTCTCCTATCCCCTCATATGTCTTCGCTCGCTGTCCCAGCGCACATCTCTCTCTCCCTCTCTCTTTACCTTATACCTATCCTTTTAATTCCTCCTCACCGCCATCCCTCATGAGCTACTGTTGAGGTGTCACACTTAGATGCAGACAGTTACGGGGCTCACTTTTCTCTTATTTTCCTTCTTATAACCTCAATCTCTTCCTAAGAGCACAACAAAGACGGTGCGATCACCGCAATCCTACTCTTCGGCGACCCCGTGACATTGGAACGAGCCAAAAGTTTAAAAAAAATTGCTACATCAACGTTTACGCGACATTAATATTATTATTATTATTATTATTATTATTATTATTATTATTATTATTATTATTATTATTATTATTATTATTATTATTATTATTATTATTATTATTAATATTATTATTATTATTATTATTATTATTATTATTATTATTATTATTATTATTATTATTATTATTATTGGATGGTATACGAGTAAATACGCCATAGGCTTAATTCAAGCACGCTTATGAACATTCTGATTCAACATGCGAATTCAAATGCAAAAATGAATATGGAATTTCAAAAGATTATTCATCAAAACTTTTCATGCCTAGGGGCAGACTGTTGAAATAAAAAAATAAACGTTTTAATGCGCGTATATTTAATCTTGATTAAAATCTTGCATATACGTAAGTTCATGGTGCTCCTGCAGTGTCGCGAGCTTTATCATGTAGGTGCTGTTGCACGTACTTTTACGCAAGGCAGCTGCTGAACCCAGGAATCCAGGTTGTGGGAATGGGGGATGAGAGTACGCACGATGTGCACATCCTCCGGCTGCGTAAGCCTCTCTATGTTTTGCCGCGGGCAAAACTGACAGGAACCCTGGCCACTGTCCTTTTTTCGCGAGTGCCGCATTTTACTTGTTCGTTTGTTTTGCAAGGCGAGCTGCAGTGTAGACCAGTTTCAATCGACCATGGCAATAACTAGAAGAGGATCGAGGAGAGAGAGAGGCCGAGAACAGGAAATAATAACTAAGAGGACGACGAGTGCCATCAAGGTCACCACCTTTGAATATAAGTGGCCACAAGTAATCACCCATCGTATGTGGACGGCGAATGTGTTAGCACATGTACCAAATTTACTCGAATATAACCCAATTTTTTTCCAGATTTTTTTCTACTCAATGTCGACCCTCGCGCTACAATCGAATATCAAAACTCATTTTTTTCTTCCTGGAATCAATGAAAAGTCACCCCTCGCGTTACGATCACGGTCACGTTAAAATCAAGTTAATAGGGAGTTAATAGGGAGAGAATAGCGCACCGCGAGCCCTTGTGGTGCGGTCGCTGCTCCTGTGCATGCGTCGTAACGCGAGTCGGCGTTGGCGGACCGCACGCAGAAAATCCGAAATTGCGTGCGGCGATCGCGGCCCGCATGCGGCTCGCAAGCGCTGGTTTCGAGGCTACGGTGTCACTGTGACCGTTCGTTGCGGTTTGCAGCAAGGCAAACGCTATTCTAAAATTCATATGGCACCCGCTAGGCCCGCAACGCCCGCAGCGCTAGCAAACGGTATTATAAAACTCCCTGATAACATAACGGCCACGGATGCGATTTTTAATAGGTCTTTATGTCTATTTCGTTGAGTTACTTATGCCTACTACAATCCTATTTACTATAATTACCTACCATCTAACTGGTCCATTTCTCAATTTACTCCAATTGTATCATTTTAAAAATGCAACTTCTGTCCATGTAAAAGTAAAGAGAGAAAAAAAAATCATGTTCAGTTGTGTGGTAAAGTTACTGCTCTACAGCATGCACAAAAACAAGCCATTTTAATTGCTTTGAAAAGCAGTTTGGTAAGACTCAAGTAAACAATGTGAAAAGGAAACACCTGCGCGCGTGGTGACTCGAAAGTTCATGTACACTCTAGCTGGCCGTGAAACCTCAGTATTTTTGCACGGTGGCCGCTACGACCTATACTTGATAGTTTATAGGCAAAAAAAAAAGGACTCTCTATAAACTTTCTTCTAAATGAATGAGCGAGAGAACATGGAAAGTTTCAGAAACTATAACAATGATGTGTGATTGCTTACAAAAAAAAAAAAAAAAGAGAGGAAAGGGCGGGGGTGGGGGGTGGCAGAACTTCGCACACCACTAACTTTTTGACTCGGTCAAAAACTAGACAGCTACCTACGAATGCATAATGCGTAGCCTTTTCTACACTCATCCATCAAAGTTGTCACGTTTCTTTCCTTCGCATATCTCTCCTAAAGTGATCTTGCATGCACTCCGGCGTGCTTGCATATGCGCTCAACATAGTATATCGAGTGTTCTGATGAATAGCTTCAAAGTTGGTGACGATCGCTTGTAATGCTGTAAGAAAAGTGGGTCCACAAGTCATATAGAAGAAAGTTGCAGCCCAAGCCACTCATTCGGAAACAATCGTGCTCCTGCCCATGTACTCATATCTAAAACGCTTGGCACGAACTTTTCCCTGTACCCTTCTCTCATGCCAGCCGGCACATCTCGAAGCCAGCCTTCGCACTACTCCCCCGCCCCTCCTCGCAAAAAATTAACCCCACGTGATAACGTACCTGCCTCTCATGTTAGCATACCTCCGAGGTGACACTTGATCGCTTCCGGTCTATCAAATCGCTGTCTTGTGCTGTTCGGCCCCATGGTTCCTAACAGATACTTATATTTCATTTGCACAAGAGGGATGTATGCTTGGACAGAATCGACGACGACTGAGTGCCATTTCCGATCAACAGAAACAGTCATTTGTATACTGCGCACTGTCTCCAGAGTTTACGACGTTCGCGACAAGTCCAAGTGCGCTGTTCAAATGTCCGGAGCCATGCATACACTACGCCATTCGCTTGTTCGATATATGACTCACAAACCACAACTACAAGCTTGGTGATCTAGAAGCTACGGTTTGCCTACCATGGGAGGACGGACTTTTTTATCTCTCTGTCTCTATTTGATAGCTATAGGTTCAAGGACTGACACGTGACGTTTGCTCTTTTTTTTGTTTTCCATTCATCCATGCGATCGGTTCGCGTACGTATATAGGTATAACACCCGAATATGACCCTGTTGTAGCTACAAAGAAAGAATGAAAGACACACCACAAGTACTGCCGACTACATGCCAAATAAATCCTGTTGACAGTACGAATCGACGGAGAAAAATATATACGAACCACTATGAGCGAAGGCAGCTCCTTCCAGAACTGTAGGTGAGGTATCATCTCCACACCTTGAGCGCCGTTGTTGCGGTTGACTAGGACGCCTCCCACGAAGTATATCAGCAGCGCCACGAAGAACCTGGCAGGGAATCGACCGGCACACTATAGTACTTCTGCACTGCGGTCACACCTCTTCTTACGTGTGCTATAGGACACAGGCTAACGTCCTAGCCTCTTCAATTAAAGCTGTCTTGCACAAGCCGACTCTGCACTTGCTTGCAACCTAAGAATATATACCAGCTCCACCCACAGCGATCGCTTGCCCTCCCACAGTAATTATACCTAAATGCTTCCACTGAATAGCGCTTACTCGTTTTCGTGACGCCAACTACTTTATTCACACTATTTCAGGTCCACCCATTTCATTTAACTTTGAAATATGAAGTTGGTCGGTCGACTTACAATCGAAACCGAAACTAGGTTCGGTTGTAGAGCTGACTACCAAGTAAAACAAAAGAGATATGAAACACGCTGTGGCATGGTTGAGACATTGTGTTTACAATATACGGCTTAACATGCGATATACACCGTAATTTCTCGTGTATAACCTGCACAAACAGTTACGATTCGCGGCAAATTTTTTTAAGTATGATCTCCGAGTATTACGGCGAAGCTAGGTTTTCTCATAACGTTTAAGCACTGCCGTGAAGCCACCTTTGTACACCAGATCTCAAGTTTTTTTTTTTTTTTTTTGAAGTGACGTGATAAATAAGTTTACTTTATAAAGTGCACTCGCGCTCCTTTTTAAGGGGCGAACCAAATGCGAGTCGACTTACAATCATGTAAATATGGTACTTTTCGCGATGATCCCACAGTTGAAAGTCCGATTCCTGCGAGGAGCCGCCCATGGTGTAAATGTTTTCTGGCCGCCCTGTGCGCTTAGAAACGTTGTCAATAATTTACACTGCTTTGTACCGCCAGCAAACGACACTGCTCGGCTTGATGTTTACATATCACACGGTGTAGATGAACACTGTGTTCTCTTCGAAAGAACAAATGCGCCTGTGCTAGGCACAAAGGAGTGGTACGTTCCATTCGGAATATGGAGGGAAACTTACGTTAAATGAATGAGCGGACGCACCGTTTATTTAGTTTCCTACGGGAGAGCAGTAAGCTGTCCTAGAGACCACAAAATCTATGAGTGTTTAGAAGAAATTTATTTCATCGTGGTACGTAACAAACAATAGGAAACGGTGTCCATACATTAAGGACAGCAATGAACACACGAAAACAACTAAGCACAATGCACATGAAACGTCAATACAAAATTTCCCATTCCGTGGGATGTCCGTAACACGTTTTAATATGGACTAAAACACACACACACACACACACACACACATAATTTATTGACAAAAGTGTACGCAAAAAATACATACGAGCATATGTGTTTAGAAGAAGTGCTTAACGACTTATAAATGAGATCTAACAGACAATCATGGCAAGGAAAGTGTAGGGGGTATTATTAAGAGTAATTGTAATGTAAATGTGGAAAATGAAACGTTTACGAAAAGAAAACTTGCCGTGGGCAAGGACCGAACTTGTGACCTTCGAATAAAGCTTCCGATGCTCTACCCACTGATATACCACGGCGGCTATCCCCCCGATCCACTTTCTGGGGTATGTAGGGGCATTAATCGTGGGATCATCGGTCAGCGCCGCCAGTAGCCACGACGGCGATTCGTTTGTCTGTCCGTCCATTCGGCTGTACGTTCACCTAGTGAACACTCCAAGTACCGCCATATCGCATCTTTTCATCATACACTCGAGATATAGAAGTACCGCCACCCAGCGGACATTCCAAGGTCTAAAACGAGAGGTAGCGTCAAGGGCTGAAAGGGTTCCAGGAAAGCAACAGCAGCTAGTGTGTTTGGAAAGAGTGCTTAACGATTTAGAGTAGTCGGTACTTTACTATGGGAGAGCTGAAGGCCGTCCCTTGGGCGTCAGCACCTTCATTCCCGAATATGCACTGACATGTAACAGCTGGTTAACTTGTCATCTACGTAAATTTCAATGTAATGACTCAATTCCGACAGCACCGTTTGGCTTTATTTAGCATCGGAAACATAATTGTGTCGCTAGTTTTAGGCCAAAAACTTGAACGGCATGGTAAATTTGGTCAGAAACTATTACAGCGCTTCTCAGCCCCTCCGTTATATTTTACTTAGCCACGACGAACTTTCAAAGGAACACTGAAGATAGAGAGAGAGGAAAAATACTTTTTCGCAATGTAGTAAATTACAATTTCACTACGCCGAAAATGCCACCCTTATCGCGAGGAGACGTTTCGTAGGGAAATCAGCGTAACCAAGGGGATTTCGGAGGGGGCGCCATTCTTCGAAGCGAAATATTTTAATTCCTCACACTCGCGTTCGTCTGTCCGTGACCAGGAACGGTGCCAGCTGCGGTCTTTCCCACTCGCACACTCTCACCAATAACGTGGTGAAGAGCGTTGCATGGCAGCAGTTGCGCCGCAACAACTGTGATCTCTCCCCCTTACGCTCTCTCAAAAAGCACGTGATTGCGAGGAGAGTGTTTAAAGAAAAGAAGTCATGCCACATTGAATCGAACGGCCACAGACTTTTGAAGAATACGCCTTGGAATTCACAAAATGTATTTAGTTTTTTTTTTCAATGTCGCACGTGTGTAGATGCACGAACATGTGAGGCTGCTGTACTGCGCGATGTGAGTGTATACGAGAACGAACAGGACATGACCAAAATTTCTAGAGCCCCCCACTACGGCGTCGCTCATAATCATGTTGTTGTTATGGACTCTTATAATTCTAGTTGTCATTCTTATTGATCCCCCCACCATATAAAAAAAAATCTGGCTGCATCCTTGGTGAACGAGAAAGTGCACGAGAAGAAAGTGCAGACAGCGACTCCACTTTGAAGTTCCCGCATCAAACACTGCGATGTCCTAAATCTTGATGGCGTCTACTAGGTAAAACCTGGGTTTTAATTGGTAAAAAAAAAGTAATTTGTCGTATGAAAGAGCCCTATAGCTATAAGCTTTGCATACCGAATTGCCGGAAATATCACTCACGCAATGTCGCGAAAATGCGGAAGATATATTTTGAAATGTTTAACGCCATATGCGAGGTGATTTCGGAGCGATAACATATATGCCGATGAAATTAAAGATATATAGAATTCTCAGTGCGAAATTGACCAACCTAATTAGATTCATCGTATCACCTTAACTAATATGCGTAGCATTTGCGCTTTATCCGAGAAAAAGTATTCTTAGGTTCGAGCAGAAACGAGCAAGTGCGCCTGTATCTAACAAGTATACGGGCAGTTACGCCGCGATTCTGTAGACGGAGCTCACATAAATTTCTCAGTTTGCAACCGACTATAACCTGCTAACCGACTATAGACTGGATTGCCAGAGAAGGCAAGCGGGTTAGGGGGAGACAGAAGGTTGGGTGGGCAGATGATATTAAGAAATTTGCAGGTATAAATTGGCAGCAGCAAGCACAGGACCGAGTTGACTGGCGGAACATGGAAGAGGCCTTTGTCCTACAGTGGACGTAGTCAGGCTAATGATGATGATGATGATGATAGCATGCGAGTCGACAACTGCAGCTCTGACATCAGCGCGACGTTACGAATATCTAAGTTAAAGAGACGGGGCTCGAAACACGAACACAAAAGGGATCAGGATACCAAAGACGCCCCCTTACAACATTTGCGGTGCCTTTAATTCACTGTTGCGTCTGTGCTTGCAGGGTCTGTCTATTTAACATAACAGCCTGCCAAATACCACAGTTCCTTGTTATTCTATGTATCCCAAAGCCTTCGTGCGCATAAGAGCACCGCGTTCGTGAGCATACAAGTTCTCACACGCATTTAGTACAGTAGCTGCTAGAATGCATGTGTAATCCTTCTGATCTAGCAATTACATTGTTTCAGGGGCAGACGCTGCAAATCTTGAGAGCCTTGATATTGCTCAGCTGAATCTCTCACACGGAAACGTGAGAGTGTTGCTGTCACCGCTGATTAGCTCCTCCGCCTTTTCTCCCGAAACATGGCAAAGTTGACGTTTTCCGCGTACCCATCACGAGTGCCCATGGTAAATTTTGATATGAAACTGGTAGGTGCCGTATTGACAGGGCATTACAGGCATAATTTTTCGAATCATTTCATCATTGAGCAACTAAAAATAAATCAACAGTACGCGGACTGCGCACGTTTTCCCTGCACATACCGCGAACGATGGAGAACGCGCAAACACGAGCACAGGAGAAAAGAACAAGGCGGAAAGTCTGTAGATCTCCTTGATATACCGCAACGTGAAGAATGCCGCAGTCACAGAGTCCAGCGATCTAAAGAGATTATTGGGTTGGAATTTCTGTAGTTCACTGGTTTCCACCCTCAGCTTTCCACCCTCTGAGGTTATGTAGTATATGCTGTATGAGCCTTATAAGTTGTACATGCAATGTGATCATTTTTAACTATAAGCAAAAATAGTCACAATGCATGTACAACTTACAAGGCTCGTAGGAAAGAAGGGTAAATCTAAGAGCCCCTTTTCTTTGTTAGACACAATATTAATGAGGACTGATGGACAGTTATGCAAAGGAAAGTATAGGGGACGTTGTTAGAAGTAATTGTAAAGTAATTGTGAAGAAAGAAAAGTAAACGAAACGATAACTTGCCATGAGCAGGTACCGAACCTGCAACCTTCCAATAACACGTCTGATGCTCTACCAATTGAGCTACCACGGCGGCTACCCCCCGCCCACTTTATGGGGTATATATGTGCGTTTAAACGCGGGAGTGTCAGTCAGCGCCATCTGTTGCCATTGAGGCGGGTGTAGGACGCTCACTTTTTGCCTGTAGGCGTCACGTAGCACGTGATCTTATTATACTCGGCGACAACTTTTCTTGGCACTGATAGAGAGTGCCACCGGGGGCACCAATTCGTAGTTCGCCTGCCCGCATTATCGGATCTTACCGCTTCTTGAAGCACCCGGCTTCAAAACAGAGGGGAAAACGCATAATGTCCACAGCAAAAGCGCAGAAAATGCGGAGTTTCTAGCGAACAACACAACCCGTTATCCTATGAGTGACGTCATCACGTAGGTGGCGCCACGGTGTGTCCTCGAGGCCATAAACAGCTGACCAATAATCCCTCGCATACCACCTCAAGGCATTAAGTCTATAATAATGAGACCCATATCGCTATGAAAGTAGGAAAATAAAGTTTAATCGAAGAGCTTCGTGCAGCATACATACGGTGATTACGATGGCGGATGGTAGATGCATTGTGTTGGCGGCCGCACACGCTACGCGGTTATTACGATCAATACACCTTAGCAACTTTGTTGTTTCGTTTCTATGTTTGTACGAAAATGCAAGGAGTGAGAGCGAAAAAAAGCTGAGAACACGAGCCCAGCGGACTCACAGTATGAGGAGCACGGATCCAGTACTGAGTCCTCCTGATGAAGTTACCGGTGAACTGGAGCCACATGCCCCGTCGTACTTCACAGTCACATTACGCTGCATAGAAAAGAGGCTAATGTGAGGCTCACGATTACGTGAAACGAAGAATGCGCGCATCGCTTCAACGCCCCGGTAGATATGGCACGCCTCAGCAGGTGTAACTCAGATTGTTACAGCGCAAATAACGTTGTACCAAGAAGTCTAAATATCTAAAACACATTAAACACTTTCTGCTACTGCATTTTGCTCTTACTTTTGCCGCTGCTGCTGATGATGCTACTACTATCGTATAGATGAGCATGAGGGGGGCCCAGGAAGGTGACCTACGGGGGGGGGGGGGGGAGGTTGCACAGTCTGCGCCATACATTGACTTAATTGGGCGGAGGGTTGGCACTGCGACCAACTCCTTCCCTGCAGGGGAACCCTACATACGCTAATCACTACTACTACTACTACTACTACTACTACTACTACTACTACTACTACTACTACTACTACTACTACTACTCAGCAGGTTTGCACAAATATTATTTGTTATTATGCCTTCATTAAGCGAGAAGAGCACCTTCAGGTAATGTTCATTATTTCTTGACAGTCGCTTCACTTTTCTTGGCATTGAAGGGAAAGCTACGGAGGCGGAGCTTCTGCACATGTACGCGAAGTAGCCCGTCTTGGCGCGCGTCTCGTAATGCTATGGAAAGTGACGGGGGTGCACCATCAGCGTTTCATATAGACGCAGACGCCGCTTACCGTCTAAGGTGACGTAAAGAGGCGGGACTTTCTCGCGCGTTCAAAAACGCGAAGTCAGAACCAATAAATGAAAGTAAATACGACTATCTTAATGGTGGGAGCTGCGTCCTGTTTCGTATAGCCCTCAGTATAAAATAAAGGGGAAATTTTTTATATTTTATGGTGAATATACGGGCGCTCTTGTGGAACTACATTCACTGGTGGTATAGGATGCCCACGATTTGGCTCTGTAGCTTCCGCTCCAATGCCAAGAAAAGTTGTCACCGAATATAGTATACTGAAACACGTAAGGTGCTTTTGTGCAAGGAGCAGTCTGTATACAGCTACCATTACGCGATAACAACCATGTGCGAGGCGTTTTAAAATGCGATATAAACTGTTGGAATTTTGAGATATAGACGGCTTGCTATTCTCTTAGAGGAAATTTTTTTCTTGTAAAAAAGACTATCGATCGCCACGCAATGATAAATTGGTAGGTAAAAAAAAAAGGCTTTTTATAGGTAGGAGTTTTTTTTTTCGTAACAGAATCGAAAGTTGGGCTAGTTGGATATGCATGGTATAACTATCATTTAAAGCGCATTTAAAGCGCTTGTCCTCTCTGTATGTCTGTTTTTCGTGCGCTTTAAATGATAGTTTTTTTTCGTTTTAGGTACACAAAAAGAAATTTAATTCTTACAGTGGTTGAACATGCTGTTCTCTGAATTCTTTTCACCAGTTCTGAATGAGCGAAACTGACCGTACAGCACTGGCGCCGCATAGGAGCTTTTGGTGGCAGTTTCTCTCCGCGTGACATAGAACCTCGCTTGTCCAATGACGTACTACACGCACACCTTTGCTGAACCAGCCAATTAGAGCGCATTGAAAGTGATATCCCCGAAAGTGCGTATGGTGGCATTAGAACACGGACCTTGGTGAACGGGCGAATACTTCTACAAATTGATTGATATAGTATGAGGTTCAACGTCCCAAAACCACCATATGATTATGAGAGACGCCGTAGTGGAAGGCTCCGTAAATTTCGACTACCCGGGGTTCTTTAACGTGCACCCAAATCTTAGCACATGGGCCTACAACATTTCCGCCTCCATCGGAAATAAAGCCTCTACAAAGCCTATCAATATAGTACTCTCTTTACGCGAACACATTTGCATAGCGAACACGTCACAGCACAACAGACTATAGACGCAACTCATTGAAACACCATCGTGGTCGGCCACAAGTTCTAATCCGGACAATGCTAATTATGCCATTTCGTGAAATCCACATAATAGAATTCATCCCGTGAATTATTATTCTTGGAACTAAGCTGCGCGCTCTCTCCGAACGACAGCCAGGTGCAGGAGAGCCACCGGCCCCATCCATCCACGGCTACGCGTCCTGACGAGAGCAACGTATACGTAGGTTTTAGCACCCCCCCCCCCTCCTCCTAAAATTTTGGTGTAGGGTTGTTTTAGCGAAGGTAAATCCTGAAAATCGGTGTTGTTCTTAATTAGCTAAGGCCTTCATGAGTGACCCCCTCTTTAAAAAAAAAAGAATCTGACTACGGGTCTGGCTTTTGTTATTACAGATATATTCTTCCGTAGATAATGACAAGAGTCCATACAGCTCCCACCTCTAGAATGCACTGTAAGGACGTGTCCGGCACCACCCGGCGTCGCGAGAATTCGACGAAAGTAACTGGTCGCGAATGTTTGTGTACCCCCATGAAGTACCTCACACGCATCTCGCTCGTCAATGCTGTCGTACGGAAGCTTGGTGACCAGGGACCCAGGTCCAATGGGAATGTGCTTGTCCCGGTCACAGATGAATATCACGTTCGTCCTCAGTGTCCTGGATGGCTCGCTACATTTAAGCAGGTTGTTCCCGGGCTGTTGAAATTCTACCACGAAGCTGTTTTGACCTGGAAGGAGATGAAGATACGATCCGTGGTAAGAAAGGATATAAGGCACTGCCATGAGTCTGAGAACCAGCCGCTAAAAACCATCACTGAGCACCAGACAAGTGTTGCTTTTTTTAACGTTTGTTCTGACGCTTACGCATGAAATAACAGTGAAGCTGTTTAAGACAGTCGTAATTTGTGCGGCCAATCCTGCGCGGCCTATCAATAATGTGCCACAGCAATTGGGTAAATCCCCCAACTAATCACTGGTCCACTGAAAAGAAAGACAGCAACAGTTCGCCCGTCATTTATTTTTAACGCTTTCCTTCAGCAAGTGATTTAGTTTCCTAAGCAACGCATCGTCTGATTCATGGCCTATCCCCAGGTGTGGGTTGCGCCAAAATGCGGAGGAACCAACAAACCAATCAGTAGGGACAGGGACAGGCGACGGCGGTTGCGAGATGCAAGACCTACGCCAATGTCGACCTGTTTGTCGGTCTAGATAGCTGCGAACCTTTTGTTTCAAGGTGAATCTGTGGAGTTTGGACATAATGTGTCGTGTGTGTGCGACTGTCTACGCCTTAACTCGAACCTCTCTGCGCTGAGATTCAGCGTAGGAACAACATTCCACCACCTATAGCTAAGCCTAGCAACGACCAGGCAGCAATTCAGATTTGGGTGCACGTTAAAGAACCCCAGGTGGTCGAAATTTCCGGAGCCCTCCACTACGGCGTCTCTCAAAATCATATGATGATCTTAGTACATTAAACCCCACATATCAATAATCAATAAAACGTAGCATCAACCTTGAACAACTCTAATTACCTAGGCTAAAGCTTAGAAACAATGTAGAAGTAACCAGATCAGTCTCCGAAATTGTCCAGTTTTGCTGTGTCAAGCCTTGCTCGACTTTGTGCACGCTTCGCCATTTTTTTTTTCGTTATTAACGAAACACTAGTTGCTAGCAAGCGCTTGTCTGTGTCCTCTCTGAGTGTGTGCATTTTTAGCGCTCGTTTCATCATGAACCTTTACCAACACGCCCAACTGGCAGTCATCCTAAACGAAGCACTTCTTAGGCATTGTGAGAAAGCGCGCCGCGGATAGCGGACACTGCTATAAACATGCCAGCCAAATCTTGCAGTGTGCGCGGCAAAGAGAGGGCTGCAGTAACGGAGCGCGAAGTTGACAGTTTTCTCGGGTGCCCTCTTTTTGGCCCCCGCTCACTGTCTTCGTGGCTGCCGGCGCTTGCTGCTTCACGTCGAACGGCAGACAGCATGCTTTTGTCACGGGGTCGTGATGTTGACGAAGGCAGCAGTCGATGTGTCCAAAATGAAACACTTTATTTGGCCGAACTTGTGGCCATGAAACAAGTACTCAAATTATAGAGCGAGCAGTTCACGCTGTGAATATATCGGCGAACAGAGCGTCGGCCCTCGATAAACTGATCGTTCTGGGACGCGCCGTTTTGCATACGTCTCGCACAGAACTTTCCAGCCTTATCACTGGTGGTCGCGCATGCTCTGGAATAAGCTTCACTGTTGGCGTTCTGCGCGCAATCTCAACAAAACGATCTATACCCTAATGGCGAAGCTTCTTGAACATGTGTGCGAGGTATGCGCCGAGCATGGCTGACACTTTTCGTGGACGTAAACCGAATACAGCAATATTGAAACGAGAAACTTGCGTGACGATATATAGACAAGTTCCATGGGACATACGTAACAAAAATGCGGTGGCGCAGTCGTCGGGTGTTTGGTTTCGCTTGGTAGGCAGAAGATGCTCTGCTTACCGCAGTTCTTGCTGGGTTTTCGATGGTGCATGTGGTGTTGTCAGTCAAGCAACGAGAGAGAAAAAAAAAACGATATGCCAACGAGCTGCGTTGCGGTTGGATGTGCTAAAAGGCATAATAAAGGCAGCATAAGTTTTTATCGGTTCCCACTTGACGAGGACCATCGCAAGAAATGTGCTGGAGCCCTGAAACGGGTGCACTGGTCCCCGACGCGGGCCCATCCATGGCTCCTGAAGTAATCCCTGGCAGGAAAGATAGAATGTGATGGAGAGTCCTGTCTCACAACTTCGTTTTGTTTGTTGGTGCACATCGCAGCCCTCAGTGCTTATGGCGCAGGGCATGTAGTCGGGCTTTCTCACCAAATATTGTGAGCGGAAGTTACGTGCGGACGTCACTGTAGTTTTACCAATAATGTCGACGTCCGCCTACCTGTGTTTACAAACATGGAATGGGCCTATATTGACTTATAGACCATTTCACTGTTTACAAACGCAGGCCCTTGGTGACATCCGGTTTCGTCCACCGATGCGCGTTAATAGCATTGGTGGACAAGAAGAGCTTTAGAAAATAGACCGCTGATTTTCTAAAGTTTCGTTTTGGCAAAATATATTCAAGTAAATGTTCTTTTGAGCTACGTAAAAATTATAAGAGATTCGCTCGAACTGTACGCACGTTCCATTTATCTAAAAAAAATCTAGAGAAAGGCTGAATTTCCTTTATCCTTCAATAAGACTTGAAAACGTGCTGTCAGTGTCGACGTTAGGAGCTGGTAAATGAGGTGATCGGAAGTTGTTTTGAGTACAGCTCTTGAAACTTTGAAATCCGTCGATAGCCAACATGAATCAAGTGCAGCGTTTAGATATGATGTGCTTCTTGCTAAATGGGGCTGCGTGCCGTCGTCGTGCTGAGCAGTCCGCTAACGTTACACATTGAGCCTCAGTAGCGAATCACAAAGGGAAAGGGAGATCTCTTGTTGTCACCCGCGCTCAATGTGATGGCGTGCGCAGAGGTAACTCTTTCGCCACCCTTCTCTGTGTGTATAGCGTCCAGCGAGCTCGTCGGGACGAGAGAAGAGAGAAAAGGCAGAAAGCGCGCGACGAATCCCTGCAACTCCATTCGTTCTTGACGGGTTCGAGATATTTTTGCAGCCATCGATTCTTCAGGCTCCGATACTCGGGTCAATCGATGATTACAAGAAAAAGTGGTTCATGACAACGTACACATTTTTTTAACTCTATACGGGACTTTCACGTTTGCTGTTTTGTTTTCTTCAGACACGCATGTTTTTTTTTTTGTTAATATCTTGTAACCATGATTTCAGGTTTCTGCGGCTCAACCTCGCCCCACCTTACGCATGCTGCAATCGAAATTGGACCTTAACAAAAACTAACAAACAATAAAAAATGATGCTGAAAGTTCGTTATTTGAAACGTGTCAATTCTGTCTGTATTTCTACTCTGAGCCTTCCCACATAAAAAATGGAGCCAGTGCTCCTATGTTCTTTATGCGTATACGTATATGCAATGCAAGAACATCACTTGTTTGAGAATGAATGAATATCATGTTTCTGTTCATCAGATGACATAGATTATCCAGCACTCAGCCAACACAGGCCGACATCAGGCATCACCAGCAATTTGTACATACCTAACCAGCACTAGCCATCAGTCCCTGATAACCAATGTTTGCAGAATGCGAGTACGTACACACGGCAGGCCAAGACACCAGCGCGCTTACCGTTTGCGAACGAGAAAAGGGGGGTGGGAGTGCTGAGGACGTGGTGCGTGAAACAAACCATGTTCAGGCTGGTGTACAGGGCTGCCCAAAAGTTCCCAGGCCAGTATCCTATGTATTCATATAACAGCGTGGCCTGGGACCTTTTGACACCCCCCCCCCCACCCCTCTACTCATAGCAGCCATGGTGTCCCGCATTTTTGGAACCTCACCGTTAGCCTTCAGGGTCGTGAACGTGCCCATGGGCCTCAGGAGTGTGGTATTGATGATTTCGCACGCTTTGTCTTTGCCGCACGGTGCCTCCTGCCCTTCGCCGCAGAATTTTAGCGTCCAAGAACACTTCTCGACTCCCGATGACACGCAGGGACTACTGCCACGGACGTCCACATGCCACGATGTCCTGGGTAAAAGAAAAGGGCACGTGAAATCAGAAATGAACGGAGGAAGATGGGGAAATGAACGTATATCTCTGTAGCCACCGTGAGAGAGAGAGAACAAAACGAAAGACGGAGACTCCAACAAGAAATAAAATTTCTAATGACTTTCCTGCACTTGAGAAGGGGCATGAAATAACGAAAAAGAAAAAAAAAGTCTATGAAGACACCATAATGTCATCATAACAGGCAATTTCCGACAAACACGCGCGCGCAAAAAAAAAAACAAAAGATTTTATCGATGCGCACCACACTGGTGTTCAGGGCGGTGTTTCTTCAGCGGCTCGCGCTGAAGACTGCGATGTTGCGTGTCCTGGATTTCGCTTTATTTGGGTGGGTGGTCCCAATTTTCCCGAGATGGTATATAGCTTAGTGGCTATGGCGTTTGACTACTAAAGCTCATTATACCCAGGCACAACAATCACGTACAAAAGCACCTTTTTCACGTTTGAAGCCTCACCTGTTTTTTTTTGTTCTTTTACTTGTTTGCGTGTTTGTCTGCGTTCCTGTTTGTTTGTTCGTTCGCACGTTTGCCGGCCTACCTGATTGCATGCACGCACGCATGCATGTTTGCTTGTTTGTTTGCCTGCTTGCTCCTGCTTGTTCAGCCAGCACAACTAGGCTGACATGGATACTCTCTGGTAATTGAAGCAAGATCTGAGAAGATGCACGCCTGTTTCGCTGCACTCGCACAATACACATGTTGGGCTATAGTCACTCCGGTCGCAAACGAATAAGCGCTCGAGAATGCCACTACAATCCATTGACGCTCCAGGGGAGTATGGTCACTTCGTGAAGGGTCGAATGAGGTACTTAGCTGTGAATTAGGGCTCTAAGAATGAAGGCGTGTACTTTTCAATGTGAGCGAACGCTACAGATTCGGGTTTTCACGACGCAGGAGCACGCGAGGTTATTTCGCTGCGTCGTATCTCGAAAGTGGGATGGCGACGAAGTTGACGCGGTCTTGGCCAGCTACGTCCTTTTGACCCTTTCCACGAATGCCGCGAATAATAGCTAACCCCTCTTGTATCGCGTGCCTGTTGACTGATGGAAAACTTGCCTGATCTTTATGAGGGACTGCCAATCTGAGCAATAACAGTGCGATATGAGCAAACATTGGAGGGCCGCTATCAGTTTCGTAGTTCCTGGTTGATAACCTGTAAAGCTGTGTGGGTGTATTGCCATGACATTTGATATTGCACTCGTGTGACTCGTCACTTAACCGGCGGCGTTAACAATGATGTTATCATTGCATGTGCACCTCCTAGCAATGAAGTAACGTGGCGGCTGTTTGAGGGAACGCAGCCGATGACACCTTGGCCTTCGTGATTGCTGGTACTGCATTTTATGCATTCAGAAGCAGTTTATAGATGCTCCTATAGTGGTACATTTGGGTGAGACGCCAATGCACGCGTAGAATTGACGCCTTTGCATGCCGTTGGCATTCTTGGAGCGGTACGTTTACGTCTAAGCTAACAGGGATAGTTTGGAGGGTTGAAAAACCTGCGTCATAAAATAAAGTGAAAAAAAAAAAAACAAATGAACGAAAAGAAAGAGGTAAGTAGAAGCACATCATCCGGTGCCATGGTTCCTTATTGTTTTCTTCTTTTTTTTTCACGCTTTGTTTCTTGGTGCGAGTTTATGCGATTTTTCCCCCCTGATACCTGTTTCCAGCTACTGTTTTTAGAGTATAGCTTGCTCTGTTCAGTGCCATAGTACCCGTGCCCTCATTGCGACCAACGTACCGTTGCGTAGAGTGAACGAGTATCGGGAAAAGAACTACGAATAACTAATCCAACATATGCCCAATACGTTTTGGTCTCGGAACATTTCTCGAAATTTCTACTTGGTGTGAAGTCACGCTGGCATTCGATGTTAGCACATCAATTTTACGTCTGGTGTGGCAAACCTCAGTCAAATCTTGCTCTTGGGTAGTCATTGACTACTTTCACACAGAACACAATCTATCTGCAATAATTTCATTTTGGAATGGTGGCTCGTTCGCAAAGCACACGGTATATAAGATATCATGAAAATTGTAATGGGAAGATCATCTACAAAAAGATCATGATCTAGCCAGCAGGCCCAGCATAGCAAAGGGGGTGGGGGGTCAAATTTCTCCACTCTCCGAAAAATTATAGTTTTTCATGTGTATATATTGCCACGGGCATTGAATGTGCTAAGCCACCGTGCGCATGTGTACTGTGAAATACAGAAGAGAATACAGAAAAAAAAGCTAGACGACGACGTCGCGTTTAAGTGGCGAACAAGAACATGATCGGTTGGGATCGACGTCCAATGTTCCGAGAGACCGGGGTTCAGTGTTATTCATAACATGACATTTTCTGGTAAAGGGGATGGGTAGTGTAGCTTGCACCGCGACCAGCAGAAAGATCTCGGCAGTATCGAATCCTGAGAAGAGTCAGCTGAATTACGGTGCAGCCGGTGGAAACTAAGTCTACCCCCTGAATTCAGTCCGATTCTACAACTCGACAGAAGTATGAAAAGTGTGGGGACAGAGACTCGAGAGACACCCATCACGTGACACTGACTCTGCCTTGTCCATACAGTTTTGAAATGCGAATTCATTTCTTAGTCGGGCTAAGTCAGGCGTCCGTCGGGATCCGTTCACCGCCCTCTCTCATAGCAACAGCTGCGGGCGCGTGCGAGGGACCGGCGCCCCCACCTTGTCACGCTTCGGCGTCAGCAGCTATCAGCTGCAGCTGCAGGCGCGCGCACTTATCCTCGCCTTTATAGCAACCGGAACACGTGCGACCATATAGTTTCCTAATATACACTAGAGGGACCTCTGGCGCTAGTGTCCAATGGAGCTGCAATGCACGGCGCTTCAGCTAGCATGGGAATGATGGGTAGTACACACATTTGTCTAATCTTCGTACTTCTGGCCTGCTTCTGGCTCCCTGTGTGTTCGTGTGGCTCGGAGCTGTTTTTTTTTAAAAAAAAGAAAATGTTCAGCGTTTGCGCTTCACAACCTTATTCTTTTAGGCTTCCCATTTCGGATCGGGTCACAATGTTCAAGAGGGTTTGTTCTTTTCTTCAAAACAAAACCATAACCAGCAATAAACGAAGCCGCAAGTACGATTCGCCACCCGCAACTACGAAGACTAGGCAAATGCGTGTGCTACCCATCATTCTCATGGTCGCTAAACGATCGCAGCGCCAGAGTCCCCTCTAGGTAACTTTAGGAAACTCTGTGCATGTGCGACCTCCTAGACTTGAATGTGACTTGCCACCACCACAATGCAGTGCGTTTGAAACGCGTTTGTCGCGTTTGTGCTGCCAGCGTTTGTGTTCATGAAACGCTAACACTATGGCCGTCAGGTACAATGACAGGTGCAGTGATTCGCCGCTTATTCTCTCGCCGTTCGCTCTCCTTTTCCTCCCTGCGCACAATTCTCCCGTTCGCTGACTCGTACATATATATAAACGGAGTGAAGCGCGCGCCTCACTCTAGACTATTCGCTGGCTGATGAATGTTTAAATAAATTGTTATGGTACAAATCCTCGTCTCGTCATTGATTTATGCCATTTAAATTACTACGCCTTGTACTGTCGGCGCCAGAAATGCATGCTCATTTCCTCGCGATTCCCTTCGCAGAGGTGGGGGCATTTTTATTATTCTTTATCGCGCACGCCATTCGTGAGGATCCAGTTTCTCGCCCGTCGGTCGCGTATACGTTGGTCCAAGATCCACTCCACTTTTTTTTTCTCCATCACCCCAGTCCAGCCGGGCAGCCGTGATCGTATAGTGGTTAGTACCTTGCGTTGTCACCGCAATAACCCAGCTTCGAATCCTGGACGCGGCAAGTTTTTTTAGGGGCGAAGCTCCTTTGGGCGTGGGCTGTGCGTCCCCTGTATGTAGCCACCTCTACTATAGTTCTTGCAGTGTTCACTAGATGGCGGTACCGTCCCCTGTATGTAGCCACCTCTAGTTTAGTTCTTGCAGTGTTCACTAGATGGCGGTACCGTCTCCTGTATGTAGCCACCTCTCGTTTAGTTCTTGTAGTGTTTACTAGATGGTGGTACTTGTAGCTCATGATGAAAAGATGCAAGATGTTATAAACTAGAAAGCGGTACTTGTAGTTGATGAAAGACGCGAGATCTTATAAAATAGGAATGATGTCACATATGGCGCGTGTCATTGGTTGAAGGCAATCGTTCGATTTAGTGCGGCGACGTACGCTAGGGGGAGCGATGTAATAAAATCGAGTGGGCAAAATGTACAGAGGATTCATGGTTTACCAGGTTTACCTCCGGAGCTTCGCCCACTCATCATCATTCACTTCGTGGATATGGCGGAATGTTTTTATTTTTTATTTGTGTAATATCGATCTCGCGGACTGAATAAATATACGAACGCTCTAGTGAATGTGAGCATGAAAAAATTACGCTGTTTTATTGTGAATGCTATTGCAAGCTTTGTTTTTTTTTCCTGCCGACCGACTGCATTATACCTCAGAAGCAACACTTGGCGCCCACAAGAAACTCGCATTCACAATTATTCATCCGATTTGCGACGCTTCTACCAACTCTCAGAAAGAAGAAAATATGCCTGCATATTAGAGACACCCTGTATAATTACCCATCACACTCAAACAGTATGTACAGCTTCGCCCGACTAGCTCAGTCGGTAGAGAATGAGACTCTTGATCTCAGGGTCGTGGGTTCAAGCCCCACGTTGGGCGTAGTTATTTTCACTTTAGGCGTACTTAAAAAAAATGTTTTAATACGGAGAGAGGGTGCAGCCAATGAGTGATGCCGAAATCTATAAGCCAAACGTAATATAGCGAGAAATTTGCACGCTTCAAGCGTTTATGCACGTACACTCGACGCAGGCTTACGCCCGCTATGCTTTTTTTCGTTTTTTGCAAAATTGGTTCTACATGTGCGATTAAGGCATGAAAGTTTAGCAACTTTCCAGCGATGCGATGAGCCACGCAGCGCG